TTCTCCATCGCCTGGGGTGAACAAACATGCCCTGCATGTTCTCACGCTTGACTGCTGCGCTCCAAGGCGTGGCGGGCGCAGACGCGGCAAGCCTCACATTCATGGTGGGGGGAAGCGGAACGGACGTCCAGGCAGCGAGGCCCGTGCTGTCCGCGTTGGGCTCCAAAATCGTTCACTGCGGAGGCCCCGGCTGCGGTCAGGTGGTGAAGCTGGTTAACAACCTCATACTGGCCGTCTCCATGATCGGTGTGGCCGAGGGCATGAACCTTGGGGCCCGCCTGGGCGTCGACCCAATCACGCTGGCGGCCGTCATCAACAGCAGCAGTGCGCGCTGCTGGAGCAGCGAGACTTATAATCCTGTCCCCGGGATTACTGAGGGCGCTCCCGCCGGCCGTGGCTACACAGGGGGATTCGGTTCCAGGTTTGGGGGACAACGGAATGGCCTTATATCCACTCGTTACTGTCGCACCTGCTTGATCAGCACTGTGGAGCATTCTATTATTTGATTTTGCCTCTTCGGGGACCCACACAGCCCATTTTCCTGATGGCATTTTTGAGTGCATACTCGCTTTGATGGAAATCTGTGGATTTTGCAGTGCTGGTTGGAATTTCCATGCATGTGGGGGAATGAAAAACATTTGTCAAGGTGAACAGTACTTATGGAACTATGGGCGCCATCGCCTTGCAGACGCAAGGCTGGTATGTGCCTCGTGTCCCACAGCACCACTCACCTATATTGACTGCGCTCCAGGTTGATGTTGAAGGACTTGCGTCTGGCGCTACAATCTGCGACAGAGGCAGGCGCTGCCATGCCTCTGGGTGCGGAGGCCCATGCAGTGTACAGCTTGATGTGTTCGCATGGCTATGAGAGCAGAGACTTTTCCGCTGTGTACAAATTCCTGACCGGTGGGCACGTAGGCAGCGACGATGGGGATTTAAAATGAGGCAGCTGAGGTTGCACGAAATCATATCCATGGCCATCTATTCACGGAGCCAAGAAGCCACTTCTCCTTGTGGATCCCGCGGCATGCACAACCGTGAAGCATGGTAGCGATAAATTGGCATCGATTCGCAATCACTATGGAATATCACGGTCAGGAACATGATGCGATGGTAATTTGCATGCATGTGAACGTATGTCAATCAATTTTGTGTCGATGCACCTGCGATCGAGTGGAGGCAGACAAATTAGTTGGGTAGGCGTTCCTAGGTGTGTCCATCTGCCATTCTGCAAGTCGTTTAAGAGACATTGGAACGTGCATTGCGATTGCCTGAAATTTCATAATAGGCATTTTCCAATTTTACAAACCAGTGCACACAAAATGGAGTTGAAGACGCGTTCCAGTCCTCCATGCACGAGGCGTGAGTTGGATATTGCGTTTACCCAAAGTTGGCTGCTGGAATGTTCATAACTCTGGGACACAGGCTCAGGCTGGCGAAAGCTCACTGTAGAATTGTTGACGCTTGTTTATTTTGAGAATTTATATGACCATTGTTTAAACTCGGCCCAGGATGACTGAGAACACCGGTGACAATGCCCTCCCATCACCAAGATAACGTCACAAGGACCCAGGATGCTTTGGGGGGCCACAGGAACTGTCAACGTAGAAACCTTAGGCACGAAGCAGATTGTAAGCACCATCCAGCACAGCTGGCAGCGTATAGAAACTCATGCAGCACCATGGAAGCATCACCAGGACACTACTTGCTGCTACGTACTAGCGCCGCGCCCGTCGCCTTCTCACCCCCCCCGAAAGGCTCAAGAACCTAGGCGCGCATGGCAAAACTGGGCTCAAAGACTCAGAGGGTCTCACAGAGAAGCTCTACGTCCAAACATCGGAGCAATGCACTGATATCGCAACACACGACCAAGGGCCAGCCATGGGGCCGCATGAGGCCCATCCCATGTGCAGGGCCGGATTGCTGATCTTGGCGGGGCGAACAAAAAGTGCCGAGGGAAAACAAGGGCAAGGTAGAGGCCTTGCAGCCTATGTGAACAAAATACAAACGGGAGGCAAGAAAAGAGAAAAGCCCCCAAACCATGCAGTCAGACATGGGTTCCGTGAGCGGCCATGGCTCATGGAGATGCACTTTACACTCCAAAGAGAAAGTAACCCAGTAGGATTATGGAGAAGGGTGGTGGCTCCTAGCTTGCATGGGGAGCTTGACCGTGGGGGCTCAGGAGAGAGAACACACCGCTGTTGGAAGCCGGCGGGGTTTGGGGGAGTGAATGGAGATGCGGAGGCTGATTCGGGGTCATGTGGCCATATTTTGCTGCCAATTGACTTTACCTGGTACACGTGGGGGTGCCCCCGGGGGCCGAGATCGGGCAGTATCACCCAATGTCGAGCACATATCGCCCGTGGGAGTATGTCAGCATAGTTTATGACAACCTCAAACTCCCAATAAGCCTGGACTTGGCCCTACACCTATTTTCAGAGCCCGCTATAGTTTAGATAAGGTCATTATATTTGTCTATTATTTTCTGTGTATTCAATGTTCGATTTGCAATGAGTTGATATTATTTTTAAATCATTTTGCCCTCTTCTAAATTAGTTAGATTTCTTATTTGGTGCTGAGGTTTGGGCTCCAAGGACCCAACGGCTATGGAGATATCAAAAATCTCATTTTGAAACTCCAGATTTGAATGGGAAGATACGAAAAGAATGAGGTGAAATTTGGAATATGGCAATACGGCTGGTCTTCTACACAATGAGCTAAAGAACAAGCCATTTAGATCATTAACAAGAAAAATATGATATTTTTTGCAATTATGACAATCAAGCTCATTTAATATTATTAGCACACATGTAACAGGTTTGGATGGACTACTTGAAGCATCTAGTATGACTGGTTCATTACCTAATTTAGATGACGACACCTGTTTGGCAAAAAATCAGGCACTTGCAGCAACTTCTAAGAATGCCTTGAAAGGAGGAGGTTGAGACATTCACAAACAAGTTAGAAGTGCATATGCAAGTGCATGTTGCAACCTCTAGAGTGCAAGTGCATGTCACCCAGGGGAACAAAGCCTCTATCTTGACCTACAGTGGAAGTAGCATGTGACTTTGCACGGATTTTGTGAGACCAATGGGTTGTAGTTGTCAATAAAGATCGAGGGTTATTCGAGGTTGTGTCAAGCTTTGGTTGAGTTGTTCAAGAGACATTCAATGTGGGCATCCAATGACATCCAATTTGGGCGAAGGTCCAAATATTTGTGGGGAAGTTGTGCTACTTGATTGTGGGTGTAAGGGGCGGAATCCCTTCTTGGCCGGACGGGAGACGGCTTGTTCTCTCTGTTCGAGTTGGAGATCGGTCGAGTCAAAATTGCGTAATAACTTTGATTATAAACTGGTTCAGTGTGTTTGTATTTGTACCTACTCCCAAGGGATCCCAAGCGTCATGCCAGAAATAGGGTGAGTCACCCCAATTCTGGCATACTCGCCAGGTTTGAATTAGAATTCGCCCATCCCTTGTTCTTGCATTCCACCGACCCGTTGGTCCCAATACCTGTCCTTACCATGCTGACCAACATGGTGCTTTCCCTCTGGTATTTCCCCCTTTGTCCATGGTATTAGAAAACACCCGGGCTGCCGCTTCTAATTAGTACTACTCTCCCTCAAGTACTGACCCTGGTTTCCCTAATATACATTGTTCCCATGAAGGCCATTATTATAAATTGTGCTATGCTCTTTCCCTCAAAACAAGTTTTCCTATTGTACAATGTTCCCAGCCAACTTTTAGTATACAATGTAGTGTAAGTCCTCCTTATACTCCTTCTCCCTAGCAATGAGCGTCCTCATGAGTGGAAGGCCTTTCTCCCGCAGTCCAAGTGTGCTGGTGGTCCTCAGGCTGCAATGCAGTTCATCATGGTTCAGTCCCCTCCCCAGTAAGGCTGCGTGTGCTATGCTCAAGGGTGCGGTTTAGAGGGGTCATCCTCCTTGGAGTCTCAGCATGTACGTCTTGGCTGGCTGATGTCTCCATTGAGCATAGCCATCTCGTTGCGGTTCTTGTTGTTTTGGGCTGGTAGCCGTTGTGTCCAGTCTCCGCCCCACCATGGCTACTTGACGCTGGTCTACAAGTTGTCCTGTAGCTAGTGGTAGGGGTCCGCGGTGGCCCTGTCGGTATGGTAGTCTCCTCGTGCATGGTCGTCCACTGGCCCAGCTCCTTCTTTGAACATCCTCTCGACTCCACTCCCCGTATCCCAAAACTGCCGGAGGCGTTTAGTGTTGCTCATTCATAGCCGGCGCTTCCCTTCATGGAGGCGCTCGCAACCCATGGTCAAGGTTGCCATCTCCGTCATGCTTCCAATTTGGTCGTATGCCTTCTCATCCACACTCCATTGGATAAGGTTGTCCTGTCGCTTCCAGTGGATTATGGCGTCCACCTGCCATCTTTGGTCTAGGGTCGCTTGCCGGGCTTGGGCGTTCCTTTGCATTCTTGTGTAGGCTGCCACCCAGCTATCCGGTCTTGTGTGGGTGCGGTGGTCTGGGGGTTCATTGAGGCCGTTGGGTATCGAGTCATCAGGGTGTTTGTCGGGCGGTCGGGTGTTGTCGTGGCAAACAGCAATGCGGAGGATAGGGCCACCAACAATCCTATAAATATGGTGCGGGTCCACAGCCTTGCCCCCCGCTGCCAGGCGCCATTTGGGGAAGTGCGGCGGTCACTCCCATTCCATTTTTTATTCACGCTATTTATCCTAATGGGTCAGGTGTGGCACGCCTTTGGCTGACGTCTTGACTCTATGTTGATGCACCCAACTTCGCCAATCCAATCCACTGCTTCAGTAACATAGTGCTTCGGCGAAGCCTTTTCCTTGCACGATGTTTCCTTGAGTCGCTTGCCACGTTCCTCACAGCAGCTCGGGTGCATCTCGTCTCTAGTCAAACCTCGCACTCGTGGCACATTTGCAGCTCCTTGGTGGTGACTAGTTCCTTATTCCTCGTGGTTATTTCTATCACAGGAGAAGGTGGCACTTCCTTTCCTCCCTCACAGCCACCAGGTTGTCAAAGTTGTCAGGGCGTTGGCCCGCTTCCTCAATTTCTCTTAATTCGACCTCACAATCGGTATAACGATTTGCCAAGTTGTCAAAGTCGTCAGGTGCATTTTGGCGGGGATTGTGGTTCTCCAGCTCTTCGATATTGTTCGTCTAAAATAAATGTTGGCTATATTCATAATTACACCAATTCTATTAAGGAATAATGCCCCAAATGGTCAAAATGGGCTAAATAACTTAAGTTACTTTGCTAACCTCATTATGCCGAAGTTTGGCCCATTTAACAAGATGAACGTGGCGATCATGATTAACACATTTTTAGACTCCAATAAATATATCGAAGTTATCTAAGTCATTTAATTACCTGTCAACGTACAGTGCAGTGTCCAATCACTATAATCTCCCCCCCTTAAACTAAGTATTATCCTCAATGCGGCCGTAGTACTCCTTGATCTCTTCTTGCACATTTTGGAGATTGTTTTCAGGCTTTTAAGTCACTGCATGCATAGGGTAGCCTTCCCAAAAGACAACGTACTCCTTGGTAGTTTGATGTCCATGCTTTCACAGTCGATGATTGATTATTTCCTTCATAAAGTACTCCTCATAGCCGTCCATAGAGATGATTGCTTTGGGAGGTTAGGAACGTCTTCTTGCATCCTTTAGCGCTTGATACAACTTTAGTTAAGAAATATGGAAGACAGGATGTGCGCCAACACCTTCAACTTGTAGGCTGTTATATAACACTCCACCACCTTGAACGGTCCAATGTACAATGGTCCAAACTTGTGGCTTGGCAATGTTGAGGTACTTGGTAGATAGAAGAACTTCATCACCAATATGCAGCTTCAAAAGTCTTCGCTTCTTGTTTGCATATCGCTTTTGTTGCTCTTGGGCCTTCGTCAAGTTGTTGCATGCTTGAAGCAAATCCTTGGATAAGGTCTCCATCCA